ATCCACTGATTGATGAGAGGTGTGAGAAGTGGCGCTGTCTTGTTGAGAGCAAAGTCTCCGAGATCACGAGCTTCAGTTTTTTAGAAATATGAACCGATGATTCCGGCCCACAAATCACACCAAACCGTTTTTTTTCCTGGATGAAATGGCAGCTCTTGAATCTCTTCAGGTTGCTCTTCGTTCCAAATGCGGCAATATTGCTTACGTCGGATCTTCTTGGAACTTTTCAAGTGCCTATAGAACGAAGCGATGTCGCTTGGGAAGGTTGAGCAGCTACGACCGCTATATTTTCTTCACGGCGTACTGAACGTGGTCTAGTCGTTCGAATATTATCCAGTAATGAATGCTGAGTCTCAAGATGGGTGATGGTATTGCGAATAGGACGCTCAGTAGGCCGATTATGTTGACCATAACGAAGTTGAACTATTTATAAACGTTGTTCAGGCGTAAGTCTTTCCATGATGAAATGCCAAACAATACTGAATCAAAACAACATGACAGCTTGACACAACTTACGCGTGATGTGTCAAAAAAAAGTCGATTAGAAAAAGTTCCTCTACTTGGATCATCCGTTATAAAATACATATTAAATCTAGCTTGAAAATATGTTAGAGATACGTCACCTCCTATTTAAATATTTTGTTGAGACAAATTTTAACTACATCCATGCTTATGTACTGCGAAGCCGCTGTGTTTCAATATAAATATGTACAACAACTGTATTAAAATAAAAAATAATAAAAAGTTTTGTATTTAATTGTAAGTGCTTTCTATTTTTGTATGTTTATATGGCTCCGCTGTATATGTTTGTCCCTGCTTTGTGTGCTTAGCTGTGCTTTGCTAAGCTTTCGGACCTCTGAATTGATTATGTATTTATTTTTATATTTTTCATTTAGTCTTTCCTTTCTGTTTTTTTTTTTTATTATTGTTTCCCGCAACACAGTTTGATTTACTTTTAGAGTGCGGCAATGGAGTGCTTTTCGAGTGGTTCACCATTGCGCTGGAAACCACTTTTGCTGTTTGTCGTTTGTTTTTAGTAATTCTGCCAGCTTGATAGGCTTTATGGCTTATTGAGTTGGCAGTGCAGCGTAGCCAGTTTACCGCATAACTGTAAAAACCGAAAAAGCGTAGCGGATTCAATGGTCAGTGCTGAATCCTTTTTTAGCAACGGTTTTAAGCTTCGTAGAGCATTAGCATCAAAGCATATATCATAAATAACAGTAGAAAAGCATAAAAATAAAAAATTAAATTAATGCAAAATTTTGTATATGATATTAGAAAATTTTGTTGTAAAGGGCGTGGATACTTTGAATATAGCAAAGTAAACGAACCGAATCTTCAACGCAAAGCTCGAAAAGCTCAACGTTATATATTATATTTTGCGTTATTACTCATATCATCAACTTTTGACAGAAGCAGTATATGCTTTATTCTCAAATAGTTTATAATTTTTTTCGGCAAGATCTGCAAGTTGGCAGACTTATCGTGCTATACTCCACGAAATCTAATATATCGTAGTATGTGAACGAAAATCTTGATATCAACATATCGCATATTGTTTCACTTCGATATACTTGTAAACGCCTTTTTTGTTCTATTGTTTTGATCTGTAGTTCTGCTCTTCATTATTCATCAAAGTTAGGTTATATATGGAAGGTACTTCCATTGCCTGCGAGCACTGAGCCTTTAAGAAATACATATTTCAATAAATTTTTTTTAACCGGGTTTCCATTGCCAAATCATATAGGGCTGTCATGCCCAAATTTCATTAGACTTTCATAATGCTAAAATATCTTACTAGAGAACTCCTAAAGTTATGCAACGAAAACATGTAAACATATTTTCTGCTAGTAATAAATATACCCAGCAATGAAAAATTTTTAACGCAATTCCTGACCGGCGATTCCAAAACCCCGTTTTGCATTCACACGAGGTTTGCAAATTACAATCTCTTAATCCAGTCTAAAAAATTCTATAAATTAAAGGTTTACAATTTTAAAATACGCTTTTTTCAGACTACCATATTCCACTTCCATATTTATACCCTGAACAGAGTACAAGTTTGTTAAGAAGTTGATAACACCCAACATTAAATGTCGGAGACTCTATAAAAGCCCTTGGTAGAACAGAGCGTAATTAATATGGAATAATTCCACATAGAAAAATTTCACTTGACTTGAGTTACTGAAGAAGAACAATAAATCCTAATTTTTCGAAGATGGTGAAGCAATCAACAAGCCTTATAAGACTATAAGACAATACGGCAGTAATAAACTCATGTATTTTAAACTAGTTTAGAGTGATTTACTTTTAAAAGATTTGTGAATCCTTTCACATAAAGAACAAGCTCCAAAGAACTATGAGAGAGACCAATTGCTACTAAATTTGGGAGGAAATCAGCTTATTAAAAGTGAAACCAGTGCAGCCTTCTTATGAGATAGTTATGACCTAGCTTAGAACTAGTGCGATTTATTAGCAGTTATATAAATACCGACTAGCTGACGCAGCAATAGTATTTTAATAACGGAAGTAATATTTTTGTTAATCTGATTTTCGCAGTTAAACCTTTCAAAATTATTACTCATCGTTTTTTGAAAATTTATTTGTGTCGGTTTTTATTTTTCCGTGTAAATTCACACTAACTAAGTAGTATACTCATAAGAATGACAGCTATAAAATAATTACAATAAAGCTCTTATGTAAAACTTATCAAAATTATTGTACTCTCATATGTATAGAATATGGTATAATCTTATATGTATGTTACATATATGGTTTACATAAACATATATATCTTATATATAAATATATACTAAATATTGATTTTAAAACCTTCAATTTAAACCCGTTGTTACTAAAACTTCTTAAAAAATATGAATATCTACATAGTTGCTTAGTTGATATACATATATGTACAATATATCTATATATTTTGAACAAACTACCTTTAAATACTTTACATTTCATTACATTTATACATATGTATATACAGATACATATATTGATATAATAAAATACAGATTGCATAGATTATAAATCAATATGCTACTTAATATTTCATTCCCTATTCCAAGTGATGAAGAAGTACACAAATCCATAGGCAAGCACCCCTTAGGAAATGAAACTAATAACAAATCCAGTTTTACTCCTAACCTACATAACCTTTAATAGCATAATCAAAAAAAATATAGTATATATATTTATACATGTAAATTCGTAACAATACGTATTCTTTAGATTGAATATTGATATATTGATAAAATACTTCATGTGAAACAACTAAGTAGTTACCAACGGAGCTATAAAAGGAACTTTTCAATACAGCCTTCGCTACTTTGCACCACGAGCTGCTGTAAAACCCTTTTGTAATATTATTTAATGTTCGATCACTATCAAATTTTTTATGTAATAACGTACCAGTTTTTTGATTTGATCAAAAATTAATCGATCAAAATTTCAACTTTTTTTAAAAGACCGCAATTTTATAATTTTTTTTTATTTTTTACGGTATATAATTCTATAAACAATACGTTCTAGTATAATTTTATTTTATTTTTCATACATCCACGGAGAAAGCCGGAATCACTGCAGCTGTGGAAGACCTTTTTTTAGCGCCTTCGGAGTTCGCATGTAACTCGAAAAATATTTAATTTTTTGACTGTGCATTCTGGCTACCGCAGAAGTATATAAAATACGGAAGTCACTAAAAACGACGGGCGAGATAGGAAAGGAAAACTCACATGCTTTTTACTCACGGCAATACGTCAAAACAGCAACGAACTGTCAAACTTTCTTAGTAACTGTAAAGCCTACACCTGCTGTTGTTCATGACGTAACTAACTTCTGTATTTTGCTGTCAAACGTACTGCACAAAAGTAGTGGGAAGAAACGGCCGTATTCTATACTTCTATCATTATTAATATAATCTAAACTGAATAAGTAAATGCCCGATATAATATACCTAAGGTAATTTTATTACATATCATAAATCAATCAGCTTCATAACATCATTGTCTCATGCATTGGAGATGACGTATTAACTTCAATAAATAGTTTCTAAAATATTAACCCGTCTTAAAATGTTTCTCAACATGCAACCAGTCAAGGTAAGATAGAGAGCTAAATGACATTCAAAAAAAACTGATAACTATTTACCAAACAATTGTTTTCGTTAAAAATTTACCAACTACCTGCCTTAAGGTAATGCTCAAAATACAAAGTAAACCATTGTTTTGAATTTTTTGTAACAGCCACTAAAGCACCCATATATATTTGTTTAAAAAGTAACCCGGTAATAAAATGAAATGGTTTGAGAGAAAAATATATGTTTTGAAAACGGTAATTGACTACATTACAATCGAGGAAGTACTATGGGCAGTATTATCCAATGTAACGAAAAAATGTTTTCAAAAGCTACTTTTTTATAACTTTTTTAAATTTCGAAGTGTCTATTGCTTTATGCTCTTCGCAGGAGTAATAAGAAGAAATACATGCTCTGAAAAAAATTCATAAAATGCAAAATTCTCATTCGAAAATAGCGTTAATTTTAAAGCATTTTTTTCGAAAACTTTATAAGTTTCAAATCCAAACGGTTTCTACACATCTCTGAATTATATGATATATGACATAACTATCCATACTGAAACTTCGGTTTATTACTTATTTGAAATATTTTCACTTCATTTCCTAATTTTTTACCTAAAAATTTAGTCCAGTTATGAAATCCTTTTCACCTTAGTTTCTAAGTGGTTATAAACGTCTAGTCAGAAAACAAGACTTTTTCCGAGATTGTGCCAATATTTCTGCTTTGCCGTTATCTTATCAGCATAAAGTTTTATTTGTCCAATGCTAGTTAGTCAGCAGTTGGCTTTCGAAACTTTGGCGCGCATGATAAGTTCTTATCTATTTGAAGATAAGTGAAACACTAGTTGTGGGCTTATAGCGATTTTTTAAAGTTGTTCGTCGTTGTGGACACGAAAATCGAAAATCAGTACGATCAAGCGAAAGCGTGGGTAAGGTGCGTGTACCGCTGTCTATAATTGTATCGAATATTCAGATAAAAAAAAAATAATAATTTTATGATATTCTAAGTGGCTTAATTGAAAAAGACCAAGTGTGATAGAATTGTGAGTGAAGCATAAGCAATAAGTTGGTTAAGATATGAAAAAATTGAGATTTAAGAGAGAATGCTAAGAAAATTACTAATGAAACTTAAAAAAATATAAAAAACGAACAAAAAATGCGGACACGTAAAATTATTTTGAAAAATTTTAAATTTTTTAATTTTTGAAAATATTTTAGAATGAAAAATTTTGAAATTTAAAAAAAAAACCATAATAAAAAATTTGGATATTTTTTTTATAAACAATTTTTTTTATTTTCTAAAATTTTAAAACAATAATGAAAAACTTCGAATTTTTTTTTTTGAAAATAACCTAATTTTTGATTTTTCGAAAAGTTTTCAAATGAAAAATTTTGAAATTTTTTTGTTAATTAAAACCATAGTTTTTGAAAATTTTCAAATATTTTTAAATTTTTGTTAGTAAAAAAATGCAAGTGAAAAATTAAAATAAAAAACAGCAAAAAGTGAAAAAAACGCAGTAACTACTTTGCTTATCAAAGAATGATAAATAACTAAGGCAAAGCCAACACAAACACACACACTAATATGTATTATTATATAAAATGTACAGTATTAAAAATATCTTATCGGTAGACCTGAATCATACTTGGTGGCTAAAATGGTTAACTAAACAGAAAAATGTGCACAAAATAACCTGTTCAAAGTTAAAAAATAATAAAAAAAATATTGGGACAGCACACCAACAAACTCGAACTATGTTATTTACCTGTGATATATATTATATATACCTCAAATATCTACCGTTATAACAAAAATTGCGCTGATGCCACATTCAACTGTTCCTTATCAGTTTGTGTTTCTTATCGACAGAACCGTTAAGCTTCACTGTAGCATAGATTGGTAATCGCGTACAGTGGCGCTGACTAATAATCGTACCAATTAAGACAACAATATTTTGTTGTATTGATAATGATAATAAATAGTAAAAAAATAAATTTAGACAGAAATAAAAATAATTGTATACAAGTTCTGAATAACTGTGAAACAAGAAGGGTAATTTCAAAAGGAAAAAACTAACGGTTTGCAGCATACTTTTACGTTTAAAATACAATATTTGCTTTGGAAAATTACTACACAAAAATTTTCGCGAGAATATTTTCTTTTATATAATACAATATTTTTAAACATTATCTATTTGAAAAATTTAATATTTGAAAATTTTTTAAAGAAAAAGTTCATAATCTTTTCCAAAGGTCTGGAATAAATAGTCGAAAATCTTCAACTGAAGTTGAAAATTATAGAAAAAGTAGTTTCATTTGAGATTTTCGAAATAATTGTCATCAATATGAAACTATATTAGTAAAACTTCAGTATGAAGTAAATAAATAGAGACACAAAGTAAAAACTACCGCCGAGTCAGTGCCCAGTAGGTCTTTTAGACCTACACCATAAACTAAAGTTGAAAAGGTTGCGACCAAATTATAGAAAAACAAAATGTCTGGCTAAAAATAGAAAAGCGTCAGAAGCCCTAAATTTAAGCCTAAAGATAGTACGTTTGTATATGAATCGGATTAAAAATCGGGATATATGCTTGACAACGCACACTTTTAGTTGTATTCTCATATAATATATCAAAGCAACTACTTGACCAATTTCAATCAAACTTGATACATAATTTTCTTAAAATTTTTATATTGAATGTTGAAAATGGGCGAAATCGTACACTAACCATGCCTACTTTCCTCAATGCAGTTATCGGTATAAAACTTAAAACTAATAATGAATTTTAGGTGTGTCACCTTTCTTCTAAAAAGGGTGTAAATCGGAAATTACTACTTCAAGTACTCAGATACCGAATATGAGAAAGCCAGTGCCCATAGCTGACTTTAGAGCGTTAATATCGCTAAATGTCTAAGCTGTCTTACTAAAACTAAGAACCATATTTTCCAAATATAAATATAACATGGTCTTAAAAATTGATAAAATCGGTTGTGTGCTTCCCCTAAACGCCATATACCCAACATAATAATTTTGCAACTTCCGATTGACTTTTTGCTGTATACTTGTATATCGGCTCTTCTTTACTGCTTGCTGTTAATTTTTCATAAGTTATATTTTTTTGGTTCCATCGCATAAAAATAGTATTGTAACTAAAACTGTTTTCGATTTACAGTTATACAATACTTATAGTATGTAGTTTATTTGAAGCAGAATAACATATATGTATAACTCTTATCTTCATTAAAAATATATAAAATGTTTACATACTGACTATATTTATTCACATATATTAGATACATACCATATACGTACATACATACACATAAATATAGTATATGAGTACATAAATTTTAACGTTTTCAAGCTCTGCAAGACTAGGCACCTGTTCTTATCGGCACTCTCCTGCCTGCTTTTCATTTCTTAGCTTCCTCGCACACTCAAACCGACTTTAATTTTTCGTTGTAAAAACCTATAGAAACACACAGAGGTGCTTGGGTTCGTTTAGATGACGTCATCGCTGGAATATTTCATTCATTTTTTATAGTTCTTGGTATTGATAGCGTTTACAATCGATAAGTGAAGCAAGTGACTAAAACAAACAAATTCTACATGGCGATTTCACAAGCGATTTCTCTATGGTATCAGGTGCAAAACTTGTAAATAAAGGGGTTTAGTAAATATATAGAAATTTGAAATAGTTCACTTCATTACAAAATGGATACAAACAAATTATTTAAGGCTGGCATTTGTGAGTCATATATATAATTTCTCCGCGAACTAGCTTAGTCATGTAGCTAAAAATTGCATCGAATTTGTGCTAGAGACTCAGCTGCAGATGAAAGATCAAACCATGAATGCCTTAGTTAGCACGGCTTAAGAAAAGCATTGCCATTAACATATATATACACTTCAGATTCTTTCTAATACCAACAAGCGTCGCTTATCTAATAACAAATGAAACAACTCAATTAGCGATGCAGCTGTTAATTGTCTCATTGTGTTTTATGCTCAGACTTACACAATTTTACTGAAACCAAAAAAAAAAACATTTTCATATGGCAACTATCACGTTTAAGAACTCTATGGTCGTGTGGTATTTTTTAACTTATAATAAATATTATGCTTGCTTTAATTGAATATTTTTGTCATAGAAAGTAAATTTTCTTAATCACAATTTTTTTGAAATTTTATCTTTTCTTTGATGCTACTGCTAACTTCTTTTTTCAATAAACTTCACAAAAAAAGTTTTAAATCTATTCACTGTCAACTAATTACTAATTAGACAATTAATTAATTGCTTCAATATATTCTAAATTGAGAACAAGTAGTTGTTAAAGTTAATATTATTTGACCAACAAATTCATTAATTTATGGTGTGTAAATTGAGAACAATTAAGTGCTGACTTCTTGAAAATTTCCTAGTTGCACAATAAGGCATCTGTTGTGGCGCAGAAAGCAAAGAAATTGATATCAAATTGAGAAAATGGTTAACCATACCAAAATCTATTAGATTACATATTAATTGAGCAACAAATTGATTGATTTTTGGTTTGTAAATTGTGAACAGTTTAATGCTAAACTGCTGAAAATTTCTAATTGCACACAGAAAGCACAAAAAAGTAGCTCAAATGGAAAAAATGGTTATCTTCACCAAAATGTACTAAATTGCATACTAATTGAGCAGAAATTTATTGATTTTTAAATTGTAAGTTGAGAACAGTTAAATGCCGAATTCTTGAAAATTTCTTAATTGCACAATTAACCATCTTTTGGGGCAAAGAAATTGATCTCAAATAGAGAAAGTGTTTTTTTTGTTTGTTAATTGAGAACAATCTTAGAAAATAGTTAGCCATACCAAGTCTCCTAGATTAGATTTTAATTGAGCCACAAATTGATTGATTTTTAGTTTTTCAATAGAGAACAATTAAATGCTAAATTGCTGAAATTTTCTTAATTGCACAATTAAAAATTTTTTTGGGTGACAGACAGTAAAGAAATTGATCTCAAGTTAAAAAAATGGTTACTCATACCAAAATGGTTACCATGAGTGCTGCTAATCGTCTCACTTGTTCTTACAACACGCATTGTTAGTCACAGTAATGCTGACTTAATTAAGTAAATATTTGTATATATGTAAGTGTATAATACATTGTTTCTCATTCATATATATCATTTTAATCAGTTACATACATGAATTCAAGGTTGACACCCAATCGATTGCAACTTGCTATATATGAGTAAATTTAACATTTTTGACCACTTCATTACATACAAACATATTGTACCAACACTTTCAAGATAGTAAAATTTGTTTCCAATAACGCGAACTCGCCACTTTATGTACATAATTGTTCCTCGCATTTTAATTCTGATAAATATGAGCACATTTTATTATGTTGCTATTAGTTTAACTGTAGATAAGCACAGGTGCTTTTGAGATACAAATAATAGACACACACATAAGCAATATTGCATGTGTAGTGGTACAACTATGGTTAAAATATCCACAATTAGAATAGTGTAAACAAAATAGATGGCATAGAAGGAAGACAGCGGCAAATTGAGCACAAAACTAGTCGTGTATGACTAGGCGTATGATTAATGGAGCTTAAAGTTAGTATGCCAAGGCTAGATAAAACTAACTAAATTTTGCAATAACAACTATTTATAGGAGTTGAAATATTTTTAAACTTTTTTTTAAATTTTTATGAATATATCAGAAAAGGCTAGTACCTGTGAAGAATCTTAAAGAATAACACTAACATGCTCGAGTAGTATAATTTTATATAGCTCTTCTAAGTTAACCATAAGATTAGTTACCTTTTACAATAGTTCAATATAGAGTTTTGAATATTTAAGTTGCCACACCAATTCGAGTTTACTGAACATTTTTGTGTTTAGCAATAAACACTACTCAGAAACACAGAAAAAATAAAAATACAAAAAGATTTTTCATAAACTCTTCATAAACACCACCGAAAAAGTAGTGTTTATGGATTTCTAACTCATTTTCATTAAATTATTGAGCTTTTTTTACAATAATTCAGTAAAGAGTTTTGAGTATTTAATATAATGTTGCCACACAAACTCGAGTTTACTGAACATTTTGGTCTTTAGCAATAAGCACTACTTAGAAACACAAAAAAAATTAAAAAAAAAAAAACATTTTCCATAAACTCTTTATAAACACCACCGAAAAAGTAGTGGCTTTCGGTGGTGTTTATGGATGTCTAACTCATTTTCGCTAAATTATTGAGCTTTTTGATATTAAAGTCTTATACGTCATACATAACTCGCCTTAAACACCATTTTTTCGGTGTTTGCTGAACATTGTGGAGTTTAGCAATAAACAATATTCACAAACATATGAAAAAATGTGGAAAACATTTTTTTCATAAACTCGTCTTAAACCCTACTTTTTCGGTGTTAATTACTACTTAACCCGGTTTTGTCACACAATTTTGGTATACTTATAAAAACTTAAACAAAAACACCGTTGAAATTGTCTTTTGAACATTCCAACGCGACAACAGCTAACTTTTGTATAAACACAATGTATTAAACTCGAGTTTATGAACACAATTTCTCCATTATATATAATTTGAAAAATTTCTCAGTTTAAAAAAGAATTTTATTTTCAAAAATACACAAAAACTTAAACTCGAGTTTATGTACACAACATATTTGAGGTTACGTTTGTATTTATATGTAAACATCGAGTTTCCTAAGTGATTAATTAACTGCAATATTATTTAAATATCTAGTTCTAGGTGCCCTAACATATAGGTAGCAAGAAATTCAAAGCAAAAACTAATAAAACTGCACCACCTCTCTCCCATTTCAGCCACCAACCGATTTCAAATTTAACGAAGCACTAACGGATTCCTTCGTAATCCATCAACAACAACAATATGTCAGCAATTAACATGATGCGCACCGGCGCACCACTACTACTGCTCTGCGTAGCCTTCCTATGTTGTAGCATAGGCATCACGCATGCGCAAGAGAATATTATGCCACAAATTCCGCCCTCACTGGTGGAATGCTATAATACCAGTTACTTTATGAATCGACAAAATCGTCTGCCAGCCACAATCGAAACGCTGATTTCACTGATCGAAAAAGTGGAGAACACGCCCACCTACAACTATGACATGCGCACGCTCACGGTGGCGCTGCTGCAGCGCTTTCGCCAAGATGGCATACAGCGCGCTTATGGTGTAGCCGAATCGCCTGGCGTAATACCATACAGTCCAACCGGTTTTCAGTTTCCAAAGTTCCGCATATTACTATCACGTCTGATACCCGGTAATGCCTTAACTTTCCCCAACAACACGCTTACACGTGAGGAGCGTTGCTCGCTACATTTTATGATCTCCAGCTCGCTGGATTTGCGCATACGCGGCGATGAAAGTCGTGTGTGTAATAATTTGTCACAGTATCGGGCGCAGCGCTTACGGCGCTCTACTAATCTGGAACGTAAAGGCGGTTTTGTCGGCGATGTCGAGGTGTTGGAGAGTCTGAATGCTAGAGCGCAGAAACGCGGTCTCAAGACGGGCGCTTACAATTCGTTGGATTACGATTTTGGCTGGACAAATGCGGGTACTACGGCCAGCAATCAGATCAGTCAATGTCCCGTGGAGAATGGTGTTATTTGGACGCCATGGGGCACAGTGTCAGCCGGTGCGCTTTTAGCTGGCGTTGCCACAGGCTTACAACAACAAACTGTACAATTGCGCACATTACTGGCACTATCGAGCCGTAATAATGGCTACACAAATCTGCCACAAACCGCCACCGTAGGTGTGGACAATCGTTGGGCCGCCACACTAGCAGGCGATCTGGCCGAAGTGGCGCTGGTGCAAGTGCCGTTCACAACCACCGAGACGGCTTCGGTAGGCGCTAATGGCGCCTGGAATAGTACGGTCATGCCCGAATGGTACTTCCTGATGCAGCGTCAAAACTTTGAAATGACCGACGCCGAGATACGTGGCGGTTTGGATGGACTGATTATAGCCAAGAATATCGTCTCGTGGCGTACACAATCGTCAAATATGAAACTCTCACAGCTACTGCGCATGTACTACTCGACGAATGGCGTGTTGAATAGTGGCATCATGGCATGCAACCGCAAAACTAACTTCAATACATATGCACCAAGCAACGAGATGATCGTGCAGACGAGCGCCTTCTCCCAGGTATTGGATCGCGAAATGCAACTGGGTGTCACATTGTCAGCGGCAAACATTGCAACATTCTCGTCGTCAGCTGCCGCTGCTCTACAAGCCTATGTCCGTGAGTATTCCTGAAAATTATATTTTAATGGTCAATTATCTAAAGTGTTTTTGCAACCTAAGCATTTTCGTAAAAGCGTACCTAACACTTGCTTAACATATATCAAAACTGTAACTTTAATTTCTCAACACCAGAAAGTATTATTAATTTTTAAGTAAGAAAATATCTAGAAAATTTAGGAGAAGTAATATTATATTGTATAACAATTAGAAGCAGTTGAAATCATAGTGTCACAAACGAGTTCTTCGAGAACTCAATTCGGTTCGCTATTTCTTTAATTTCACTTCTCTTTACTAAAGACTATTTTGTATGTTAGAAACAACTCATTACTGAAAGCAATTAGTTTAGTGGATCTCCTACGTTCTGCACTAACACAGAGTGATCGCGCAGTCGCACAGAAGCTAGTTGTTGACCAGCGCCTACTTGGCTCACGCTAAGTCCAGAGGTTCCAACAACAGACACCGAACTCGTTCCTAATCCGATAGAATCGAGACAAGTGTGCCCTTTCTTGCGAGCAGTTTTCAGTGATTCCGCTATGACAAGACACACAGACCAGTCTGATAATAAAGTAGCTTGATGCTATCGATAGTGAGGTCAGACAGTGCTTAACGAACTTTGAGCGCATCGTGCATAAGCTCAAAACTAGTATTGCCGCTCTGCTGTCGAAGTGAATGCTCACCGCCCTGAAAAAGGCTACATTAGTTCAGCGATCTCTGCTTGAAAAATGTTATAGTGAGCCGGTAGCCCACAACCGTGCTTGAGGGAGGCTCTTTATAGAAAACTCTTCCTCCAACTTTCCATTTGAGTTTCCATCCATGATGCTCACGTCCACTTATCCCTCGTATGTAAGCAGAGAAAAGGCTATTAGGAGTAGACTTTGTGAAACAGTTATACGTTTTTAGCGACGCAGTCGAAGAAGGAGAGAATTTTAGAACATCCCAGTATGGACTCCTTTATGTAGCCAGCTTCCCCGAGTCTTACAGCGACCTTCGCAGCAAAGCGCCTGCGGACTATATCAACGGGTGTTATGTGAAGAACAGCCATTCTTGGTGTTGTTCGTAGTACACCACATACGTACTACAGATGCCAATGAGAGCAACTCTTTGTGGTAGCTTGAAAGACACGAAAAAATTATATGAATATTGTTGGAAATGTCGACCGATTTAGATTATGACCTATTAATATTTTTTGATATATGGGGTATTAAGTCTGAAAGTTTGCTGTTGCTGTTTTTTTGTAATTACTACTTAATGAAATGTATGGCAAAACTTGCGAACCCAAGCGAAATTTAAGAACTCACAAGAAATTGTAAATTGATATACTAATAACCATGTTACAGGGTACGACAGTAAGAGTTCCCGATTTCCCAATTTCTTGGAACGATCATGTTTGTTACATCATCTTCTTAATGCTGATTCTTACACTAATGCCTTCACATAAATTCTTCATCTCAGTTTACTCAGTTTTTAACAAGAAAATACCAGCTTGCAGCTCGTTTAACTCATCACACTGTTTTCTCTCATTTCAGCGAATAGTCTTAACGACGTTACCTGTTCCGTTAGCAGCAGCGCCAATAGCGTTACCAACATGATCACACCCATGACCAATATCTATGTGTTCCTGGATACAACTTGGCAATACAGTAGTATTGTTGACTATCTCACGTGAGTGTTTTATAACAAATATTTTGCATATAATCTCTCACACACACACATACATACAATCTCTGCATGCATTTTACAGTTACATACTTCAGCGCCTCAACATAAATCCCTATGCCAGTTCGGTCACTTTATTAGCTGCTAACGATGGTTCGGTTATTGTCAATACCACCAATTATCTGCCAGACATTTATCAAGGCTGGAATGTGAGCGTGCAAGCACAATGTGAGTTCTCTGAGTTACATCTCCCTAATCTCTTAATAAAATAAATTATTTGTACTCTCTTCTGCAACGCAACTTATTAACTGTAGATAACGCCGGCTTTAATTTACCCAATGTCTTGCAAACCGTGCAAAACTTGACACAAGCGTACATGAATGCCCAACAATCCAACTACTCAGTGGGCGGACGTTCGCTAATCGCTTTAATGCTACCCTTTAGCACAGTTCAAGTGAGCTCCAGCGATTCGTCTTATGCCACCACACAATTGCAATATATTTACGAGCAAATACCTGATCTACATTTCATTTACTATGCCAGCGGTCAGATCAGCCGCTTCGCAACGTTCGTACGCAATCCCAGTCAAGATTTGTTCACGCTAAATACGGGCAGTACGGCGTCCGCTTCGTCCGGGCCGGTCGTGTCGCGTATCGTTCAAAGTAAGTTTATCAGCTGCTCTCTACATTTCATTCACTCGCTTAATGCTCACTGACAATTGTATTTTTTTCCTTCACTCGCTTCCTGCTGCAGTTCCACGACGTATCATCAATCCACGTTGCGGTTCCAACTGGATAACACCCTCCTGGGGCACCGATCAAATGGCGCAGTATCTCAATCTAAATGGCACGAACTTTTATCGCATGGCACCAAACTACTTCTACGGCCAAGGCAGCAATCGCAATGTAGCCATACAATCAACCAGCGGCATCCAGTTCATCATATGTACCTCACGCACTGTTACGCTACCAACCCAAAATAATGCCACCAACTACAATGGCGGTACGTCCGACATTAATTGCGCCGCAATTGGCAATGGCTTCTCCTATGATCTGTCCAATGCCTGTAATGGTTACAGTTATATTAACCAGTGTCCTCCATTGTATATTTCGGTGCAGGCGCCCACGTATATACAGTCTACGGTGTCTTGCACAGACAATGCTTGTCAAACACCGAATCAGGCGCGTTACGTCATTTCGGTGACCAATTTGGGTTGCTACAGTGGCGTGGCCGGTCTCTTTGCCAGTTTCGTTACGATTGCGCTGGCGTACTTCCTGCGCGAAGCCTTGCAGTAGCATCGTTATGCGATCGGCTTATTTGTTTAGTTTTTTTCTACATACATATTGTACGTGTTTTCATATTTTTGGTTTACCAGTGTTGCCAATGTACTTAGTACAGTAATAAAATACAGCTTTAAGTTCAATCAGCATACAAAAATAAACACGTGACATGTTCCTCCATAGTACACAAATGTCATAAAATTAAAGAATATGTTCTATATAGACGGTTAAGTTCATCAGTTTCTATTTCTATCATAATATATATATATACATATCGTTGGTTTACATTTCACTATAATTTATTGTATTGTATAATCGTAACACGAATAAAGTACGAATGCCATAAACGTGAATCAACAACAAAAATTTGCGTATTTTAATACACTAAATAAGTTAAAGGTTGGGATTGGGAGTCGCTTGCTTTTACGTTGGTCGTGTATTCTCAATTTACGAATGCTGGTTGAAGCTTTATACCATAATCTGTTTAGATGAATAGCTGTGTGATCGCAAAGAGTCGATCAAAAGCGCTTTTTTGCTTGGCTTTAAGTTGTAGTAATTAGAGCTAACTGGCTCCTTCGCATCATTTTTATGGTTGAACACCGCTAGCATTGTATGCAGCTGTTTTGTAGTTAGATCTAACCTTCACAAGCTGTCGGACAATTAGATCGTGAGATATATAGTTTTTGAAAGCGATATATACTTTTTTTCCAAAAGAAAAACGACGACAAATCAAAGAGTTTAGAAAAAACATTGCCGATGTCAAAAAGAGACTGAACTAAGATCAACCTACCCTTCAAAATACATGTGTTTCACAGTTTTCGGACACTGGGCTCGTGAGTTATATAATACTTTGTTGAGTGGGACCAATTTCAATCGCAACTACCGGATTTTCTAAAACTAGCCCGTAGCTATCTTTTGCTGTTCTCGGATCTCAAGAGAATACTTGCTGGCGAAAAATGTAGCTACGATGAAGTGGTAATGGCGTTCGGCCTATATTTTGCAGCAAAAGCACCTTCGCTGCATACATATTATATTTGTGTAGCCTAACTAGATACTTAGCCAAATCGAAATTTGTAGTATACACTCTAGACAAAGTTAGTTACCACGTAAGATCCTAATATAATAAACTATTTTTATTGACACTTGAAAAAATTAAAGGAAGCACTACATAAAAGGTGAGACTATTCAGGTATTAATACGATTTTTTTATAAGTGACTAACTTAAAGAGAAACGCAACTTAAGAAGAATTTTATTTAAAATTAGATATAAGCTTTTCATCGCGTTGTAGATATATATTTATATATGTAATTATGTTTTACTTTATTAATTTACTGAAATTATTTCTCAATTTCACAGCTTGGATGTACTCAGACTGCTATGCCGCTGCGGAGACTCAGGGTATATACAATATGACCACAATTATGACGAATATATTTGTGTTTTTGGATACCACGTGGCCATATTATTACGTCGCGGATTATGTTAAGTATGAAAATTTATCAATATGACTAACAAATTGAAATTATTTATATAACAAACGAAAACTGTTAATATTTTTATATATATAAATTTATTTATACACGCGTCACATACTTAGCATAGATTCCTGAAGGGCGTTAGAGATCGCTATATACAGGGTATAGCTTTTGAAGATTTTTTTTGATCATTTTTACAACACAATATCCCTCATATTCCATAAATTTCCCACATTTACAAAAAAGTACTTTCCGCTACGTTTTCTATCACTTTTTTTTTAACATCTTGAGAGATATAGTGTTGATTTCGACTCAAATATTTGCCTTAAGCTCATCCTTTTTCCGACGTCCATGTGATATGTGAATAGAATGTCCAAACATTTCACGACCGCTAAATATGACGATAACCGATCTTGCAATACCTGTTCATTCGCTGCACCTATGTTTCTATGATCTTAGACGAGCTCTATAATAATAAAGATGTCACGACCGCTGAATATGACGATAACCGATCTTGCAATACCTGTTCATTCGCTGCACACATGTTTCTATGATTTTAGACGTGCTCTA